ACTTATTATCTTAAATTATATATTTTGGTTTTTCTTTCATAGAAAATGACAATAGTGGTCCATGATTTTTTTCCCAAAGCTTTATAGCTTCCTTCATCTTCCCACTCTCTTCCTTACCCCATGATTTTACTCCTTTACTGTGAGAGGATCTGAGGTTTTACTGAAGGTAATAATTGTATTAATAATTCTTTCATGAGAATGGATAACTATAAATCCTCAAATTAGTTCCCACCTTTTATTTTAAGAGATAGAGTACCTTTAAAGAAAAAGTTAAGAATGACTTGTATTTGGGGGTGAATCTGATACTTCCTGGTCCTGATATCCAGGGGTTTTCCAATGAATATTTAAAAGCATATTTCTCCCTGTGAACACTACTCTGAATTTGGTACAACCTCACTTGAGAGTTTCAAATGGAGTTTTGCAAAACATGGTTATATATGTTTTCAAAGCACCTCAAATGTCTTTCTTTACAAAAGCATCAAGTTCAAGCTCATTACCATCAAGTGGATTCCAATAGGAGTCACCTTCCACTGGGTTTCTGAGGTTCTAAATGACAGTGGGAGGATACTGCTTATCTTTCGCTTGTGGAGCCAATCAGTAGATTTGAACTGCAAGAACTACTGACCCTTTTGGTTAGCTCCTCTGTACAGGTATGTGGTGGTGGCTGTTCTGTGCTGTGGAATTGAAACCAACTCATAGCTGACATTCCAGTGGATATTCAGAGGTTGTAACACAGGAGAGGAGATTGCCCATCTTTCTACCATGGAGCAGCTGGGGGATTTGAACTGCGTGCCTTTGGCTTGGTAGTGCAACTCCTTACCAGTAGGTCACCTGAGGTCCTTCTTTGCAGGTATGCTGTTGTCAGGTGCCACTGAGTTGAGGATGACTCATAGTGACCCTATGAACAAAAGACCTGAACCCAGTCCTGTCCTGCACCAGCCTCACACTTTCTGACACACAAGAGCCCATTGCAACATGTCTTCCTCTTCTTCACCGACCTTCCACCCTTGTCAGCATCATGTCCTTCTCCAAGGAATAGCTCCTCCTAGCAATAGGTATAGATGGGCTTAAACCTCTAAATATTCCTTAAGTATGAACACTAGAGTCAACAAATTCTTAAGCACAAATTCTCTTATTTTATTACTCATATTGCTTCAAATCCTTATTGAAATATATTAAGATGGCATTTCTTTTGAAGGTTGAGACTCAAGTGAAAATATTAATAAACCCTAGCATAGCTATCCTAGTCACATCCAGGCCAGATTAATCTCCCTGATTTGGTTCTCTTCTCCTTTTTTTCCAAATGTTTGTAGAATTTTGGGTCATGCTGTGGTTTACCAAATGGTGTTGCAGGCTGATACATCCAAGGTCATTGCTGGAAAGCAGAGTTGCTGGCAGTTGACTTTGGAGATTGCTGGCCGCTTGTTCTTGAGGTTGATGTGTCCAAACATCATTGTTGGTTAGCAAGGATACAGATGGATGGCTCTTGATACGAATGAGCTCAAAGCAGTCTTCAATATGGATTGAAGCTCAACATCAAGAAGACAAAGATTCTCCCCACTGGCCAGTTGGTAGCACCATGATAGATGTCCTACAGAGGGTGAAACAAAATTTCTCCCTTGAAGGCAGGAATTTTGAAGCTCTGTTTCACATACTTTTAGCATGTGACCAGGAGGGACCAGTCCTTGGAGAAGGACATCATGATTATGAGGGTGGAGGGCTAGCGCAGGAGAAGAAGATCCTGGATCAGATGGACTGACACAGTATCTGGGGTGATTGAGGTAGTTAGGTCGGAGAGAGTGAGACTGGATCAGGATAAGCATAGGTTTCAGAGCTGTTGTGCATAGGGATGCTATGATCTATAGTCAACTTGATGGCACATAATAACAACAGTTTATCAAACCTAGGAAACTAAGCTAGGTTACTAATTTTAAGTATGTGTATGTAACATCTACCCACAAGTGTGAGATATTTTTGATGGTAGTGACAGCATTTTACTTCCTGTATATCCCCAAATACCTAATAGGACATTGTGTTATAAACAGGCTAATTCCTTAATATGTGTTTCTTTTGGTCTCAAAACAAATTTGGTCCTTTTTTGGTTTTTTGTTGTTTTTAAATTGTCATGTCTTATGTTATTGTTATGTCCTATCGAGTCACTTACAACTCATAGTGACCCCATGTACAATAGCCTTGACACCGGCTCTGCCCTGTGCTCTGTCTCTGACACACCTGCCTCATTACCACAGTTACTGAATAAATCCATCTCATTAACTGTCTTCCTCTCTTGCACTGTCCCTCCACCCTTCCAAGCATGATGTCCCTCTTGAAGGACTGGTCCCTCCTTGCAACATGTACAGAGTATGTCAGACGAAACTTCAGAATTCTTGCCTCCAAGGGGCAGCCTGGTTTCACTCTCTCTAGGACAAACCTATTTGTTTTCCTGGCAGTCCATGATATATTCAATACTCTTCTCCAGCACTACAGCTCATAGGCATCAAAGTCCTTTTTATCATCATCTTTAGTCACTGTCCAGCTTTCTTACACGTAGCAAGTAATTGCAAAGAGCATGGCCTGGATCAAACACACCTTAGTCTCCAGACTAAGATATAGAGAGTTCCCTGACAGCAGATTTTCCCAATGCAATTAGTCTTTTCTTTTCCTGGATGCTGGTACCAAGAACGTTGATTGTAGAGTCAAGCAAACTAAAGCTGTTAACAATCTCAATCTCTTCCCATCTATCATAATGTTGCCAATTGGCCCAGTGGTGAGAATCTTTGTTTTCTTGATGTTGAACTTCAATCCATATTGAAGACTACAGTTCTTGACCTTCTGCAGCAAGCCCTTCAGGTCCTCCTAATAGGGCCCAACCTCCTGGATGATCTGTTTTGCCTATAGATTGAGAAGGTATGGAGATAGGACACATTCCTGGTGTACACTCTTCCCAATTTTGAACTACACAGTATTTCCTGGCTCTGTTCTGATGACAGCCTTCTGGTCCAAGTATAGGTTTCGCATAAGCACAATCAAAGGTGCAGGGATTTCCATTCTTCTCAGAGTCACTCCAGTTTATTGTGATCCACACAGCCAAATGCCTTTGTGTGACCAATGAAACACAGATAGACATTCCTCTGGTAGTCTGCTTTCAGCCAAGATCCATCTAACCTTCAGAAATAAAAATGCACGCTATACATGTGTGTTTCCCGATGGTATGCATAGGAATCAGATTGATAGTATCCGTGGAATCACTGGAGAAGTTCAATATGAGCTGCGAAAACTAGGCCAGATGCTGACTGTAGAACAGACCACCAACTCACATGTAAGTTCAAATTAAAGAAAACTAAATCCATACGAACCAAAATTTGGCCCGGAGTCTATCCCACTTAAATTTCAAAACTATCTCAGGAACAGGTTTGAGTCCTTCAATACCAATGAGCAAAGATCAGATGAGCTAAAGAAGGATATCAAGAATATCATCATGAAGAACGCAGAAGGTCATGACATAGGCAGAGTAGGAAGACCAAGATAGATGTCAGAGGAGACTCTGAATATTGCTCTAGAGTGATGAGAAGCCAAAGCAAAGAGAAGAAATTAAGGAGCTGAACAGAAGATTCCAAAGGGCAGTGGTGGGAAGACAAGGCAAAGTATTATAATGAAATGTGCAAAGACCTGCAGTCAGAAAATCAAAAGGGCTGAACTCGCGAAGCATTTTTTTATTCTTTTGTTCCAGCATTTCTTAAGCTGAATGATGCAAGAAGAATTAAAAGAAGATGGAAGGAGAATACAGTGTCACTGTACCAAAAGAAATTGACTGACACAGAATTTCATAAAATAACACATGAGCAAGAGTCTAGGGTGATGAAGGAAGAAGTTCAAGCTGCTTTGAAAGAATTGGCAAAAACGAATTCGCTTTTTATCATCCCTAGTCATTGTCCAACTTTCTGATGTGTTGCAAGTAATTGCGAAGACTACAGCCTGGATCAGACACACCTTAGTCTCCAGATTGACTTTGTTGTTGTTCTTCAGTATTCTAGAGAGGTTCCTGACAACAGATTGTCCTAATGCAATTTGTCCTTTGACGCAGGAATTGACGGTATACCAACTGACGTATTTTAACACACAGACGCTGCTCTGGATGCACCCACCAAGTTGTGCCAAGAAATCTGGAGGATAACCACCTTGCCAACTGACTGGAATAGATCATATTTGTTCCCATTCCAAAGAAAGGTGATCCGACAGAGTGTGGAAATTATAGAACAATATCATTAATATCACATGCAAGCATGATTCTGCTGAAAATTATCCAAAAGTGAGTGGAACAGCACATCAACAGAAAACTGCCAGATGTGCACGCTGGGTTTAGAAGAGGCCGTGGGACTAAGCATATTATAGCTAATGTTAGATATGTCATATGCTACAGTGAGTTGAAAAGTAAAATTCCATGGAAGGCAAGAAGCTGTGTTTCATCCTAGCAGAGAGATAGGAACAACTAGGATGGTATCAAATGAAAAGAAATTCCATATGGTACTGGACCCATGTTGTGGATAACCATAGTCCCAAAAGCTGTGTTATCATAGGAATCAGCTGTGACATACGTACTTTTGAAAGTTATCTGAGTTATCCTGTATCTCCTATACCTAAGTTTCTAACTTTTATCTGAAAGGAAACCCATTTTCCCATCTTATTTTTAAAGCTCAGGAAAACTACACTAAATTTCTTTAATCCTTTTTTTTTACGTCTCCAAGATCATTTTCCTATCTCCATCTCAAATCGAATATGCTTCCTGAAATGATGCCTAGGCAGTTCAGCCATTCTATTCAATTGACATGAAATATTAAAACAAAACATATTCCAAGCTATTCTCAATCAAAAGCTAATGTGAAAGTATTGGACTATGCACCAAATAAACATATTAAGCTTAAGACTACTTTCAAATGCAGTTAAGAAATTACATCGTGTTCCCTCTACCAGAAATCTAAAAGGATATATTTCACTCTGAGTCATGATGTAATTAGATTATATTTTATTAGACATTCTTTACAAATTTAAAATACTGCTATTTTTACATGCACAGAGAAAAATCAATTTGGATAATTATATTTAGGCATTCATTAAAATTAACCACAAAATAGGGACACTTTATTGTGTCATTTATCAACATACTTGATATGTATATCTAAAGTGCATTATGTTACAAAAAATATAGAAATTCAGCAGCACCAAGATACATTTACAAAATAAATACATCAGTCAACAAAATAAATTATGGTAAGTGTGATAATAATAATTGGATTAGCCTTGGCAAAAAAAAAGTTATTCACAATGACCAATGTGCAGTTTTGTAGAGCAATGAGGGAGACAGTTTTATTCCAATGCATTTACAGTATTTACAGACAATAAATATTTCTAATACTTTCCATATGTTCATTATTACAGAATTCTGCAATATGTTCTCTGAAGGCCTCTGCTGAAAATTTCAGTGCCTCCTGCAAAGAGAAGGAAGGGGAAGAAAAGGAGAAAATTGGTTAATTCTCCTTAAGAGACAGAAATCAAAGGGTATATAATAAAGATCATAGAATCATAATGTAAAATAGGTTCAGGGGGTTCTTGGTAAGCATCTCTCACAAAAGATACCTGTGGGGACCACATGTATCATTAAAACTTCTGTTGCCAGCACAGGTTGGGCCAGATTAAGTGATCAATGTGGTGTAAAAGCAAATGGTCTGATTTCTAATTAAGCTCTGTTGGAAAAAGAAGACTCTGAATTTTCAAAATTGTCATCTTGTAAGTTTAATAAACGATGGAAAAATATTGAGAATTTGGAAGCAGGACAAATGCCAGGAATCCATCATGTAATAATTCTTTATTTCCCAATGATAGGTGATCTACATGATACAGATGTCACGTTCACTTCAGGTTCTCATTTGATCAGTTCTTCCCTAAGGTAACAGACTGTGGCGCATGTAGTGAAAGTGACTTTGAGTAAGTGTTGGAAAGGTGTGTAGTTAAACAGAGCATGTCTGAGGTAATTTCCATGTATTGAAAAATAGAGGAGACGCAGCAGTTACTTTCCTGTCTGACATAACAGCAACCCTGTGTATGTTAGAAAAGAACTTTGCTGCATAAAGTTCTCAATGTCTGATTTTTTTTTGTAAGTAGGTTACTAGGCCTTTCTGCTCACATGCCTTTGGTGAACTCAAACCTCTGACCTTTCAGGAAGGATCAAGCATGTTAACTACTTATACCACCTAGATATTTCATTATGTCTTTAGCTGCCTATAAACACCAATGAATGGAACAAGACTAGATTTTCATTTCAGAGGCTAAACATCTATTAGAGTTATTATTTATCTCTTTATTTTTGAGTGGATATTGCTTTAGAAATGATAGAAGCCCATTTTAAAGTAGAGAATCACCAAGACTAAATTGACTGAAAGCATAAAGTACCTGTATCCCACAAAACTGAGTTTATTACTCTGAATAAGCTGTCCCTTGGGGTTAACATTTTTCTCTATGCTGTGATGACAATATCTTAAGATGCATAAGAAGATTTTTCGTTCCTCCTTTCTCTTCCCTCTGTGTTGTCTGTGTTGGCATCTAAGGAAACAACTACAGAGTGAAATTTGATTTGCTAAACCACTCGTTAAGCCAGGGTTGTAGGTAGAGTTTATAGGGCAATTATGTATTTGTATGAGACCCAAAAAAGGAGCATGTTTTTGACATTTAGTAGTTTTATGTTACAGATGAGAGAAAAGCAAATTGTGGATCTAGGGTATTTTAAAGTTGTTTTTTTTAAAGAAATTGACCACTGTACCAATTATTTTGGTTGGAATGCTGCAATAGATCCCAATTTCAGAGAAAAGCTGAAGGTTATAATATCAAGTGGTAGGTGAATGTAGGTGGATGATAGATATAAAACAAAAAATATCACAAAGTACATTTTATATAATACTAATTTGCATTATTATGATATTAGTGAGCCAATTTTCTGCATAACAAAGGAAAATGTAACAGTATTTTGCACAATTGACCTTAGAAATCAAGAAAGAAAAAGAAAAATCACCCAGATAAAAGGACCAAAGGATTCTTCTAATTCTATTACATTGAACCCAGTCTGTATATTTGTTATTCTTCTTTCTGATTTCTTCATCAAAGGTATTTATTAAAATAGCAAAGTGAAACATATGACACAATTGTAAAGTATTTATGTGTGTGTTTTTTGTGTGTATACATGGTAACATTTTAGTGTCCTAGTGGAAAAACTCTTAAAATTGTCTATTTCCAAATCAGTACTTACCAAGGAAAAATTTGTAATTTTAATGAAATGACTCCCATTTCACTTGGACATCTCCTTTATAACATCAAGAATTCGAAACTGTAATTTCCAAATTTAAAGGTATGTATATGTTCCACTAAACTAATCATGTGAGAGGAGACAGGTAATTTTTATCTCAGTAGCTACTCTTAAAATACATACATACATTATAATAAAGTCTATGCTTGCCATCTCATCAGATCTCTCAGATAATCAAGCATAATATCAAAAGGCTAAAAAGATGATATTAATAAAAGATAGCTTCTTATAAAATTTTTAAATCAATATTCTGAAAATATTTTATTTTTATTACACAATGTGTATAGCCCTGTATGTTCTCATCAATACACTACTAAATCTCCACATTCTGCCTGCATCTCTCTGTTGTGTTGGGAGAGGGCCAACATTTGGCTGCCAAATAATGAGTGCTTTCCATGAATGTCCCCTACAACCAAGGAACAGAAAGGAGAAGCAGAAACATTCTATTTTTGCCCCAGTCCTAGGTCTGGATTTTATTAGGCCATTGCCTAATTTTCACTAGACCTATTTTAATTTAGGGGTGGCTTTCAGTTTAAGAATTGATGAGTGCTTATTTCATTAATTCTTCAGATACTTAAGAGCATGACAAATTTTAAATGAATAAGAATCCTTAGGGAAATATTTCTACTTCTGTAACTTACTATAACAGTTACTTCTTTAACTCATTATACTCTATAATGTGGGCATGTGTGTCTACATATAGATAGAATTGACAACGGTTAACAATAGATTTTAGCAAAAAGTAGAGTACTTGCTTTACTTACAAATGTAGACTGTTAAGATCATATCCTTAAAATACATTGAAGAATGAAGATAGACTAAGCTAAAATTTATATATCCATTAATCTGTACTAAAGATTCTCTAGTGTCTAACTCATTGCCTTCTAAAGCTGTTCTTCAATTATATCTAATTGCCATTTTATATGCTAGTTAACGATGAGTTTTGTCAACTTAACTCAAAAAGAGAAGTGATGGCAAGTAAGTTGAAACTCTCCTTTGAGACATCACTCTGTAATCCTACGTCTACCAGAGTCAGTGGGAAGGACTGGAGAAGTCACAGGGGACTCTTTAAAAAATGAGATCATTGGTTGCATATGATGCGTTCCTGTGTTGTTTTCCTTTTTCAAACCCCATAGAAGTGCTGTACTGAAAAGTAAAAAAAAAAACAGAAAAAGATCCTATCAGTAGAAATGCATGTAGAAAGAAGCAGTGCCAGTAACTTAGCACTGGTCTAAGCAATGGGAAGTGGGGAAAACAATTCTCGTTCAGAGGAGTGATTATGTACTTAATTTTGTCCTTCAAAGTGGAATACCAGGGTTTCCTATCTTACATCATGAGAGTAAAACTTGTCCCCTTGTTACCTTTCAGAAACACACACAACAGAACTAGATCTTAATGCACTAAAATAGTCAACTGCAAATTGTGTACTTACTATGTAATGGGTTTAACCCATATAATAATCTCATTTAATCATCACTGAACACTATGAAGTTGGTGCAGTTATTATTTGCATGTAGCAGAAAGGGAAAATGAATCCTAAAAAGGTGAAGTCAAGGATGTGATCGGTAATAAGTTTAGACCTAAGACTTGAACCTAAGTTTTTAACTCCAAAGGCTATTTATGCAAATACCATTTGATCTCTGAGGACAAACAAGCCATAGAAACGTGGGGTTTTATTATTCCTACTGTACTTCTTGATTTAATAGGGAGCAAATAGGAGCCTTAGTGGTTATGTGTTGTGCTGCTAACTGTAAGGTTGATGGTTCAGAGCCATCAAGTGCTCCTTTGGAGAAAACCGAGGCAGTTTCCTCTTGTTAAGATGTATAGCCTTGGAACTCAATGGAGGGATGCCATGAATTGTACTTGACTTAAAAGTAGTGACCTTTTAGTTTTTAATGAGCAAATTCATGAGAGCTTATACTTTTAAGCCAATACATAAAAACTTTTAGAGACCGTGGTTGTTTTGTTTTGGGGTTCCCCCCCACAAATGATCAGGTAGAAACCAGAGTTAAATACCAAAATATGAATAACTCTGAAGGCTTATGGTATGCTATGGTTCTACAGTGTTTGTAGGTTTTGTCAAAGCTGAAGTTTTTCATGTTCTCCCCTTAAGTGAAAGCAATAAGAAAGAAAAATTATCAAGTAAGATGTTAGAGTTGGGAAATCAATATCCTTACTAGAGTGAAATGACATGATGATGGGGTGGGCAATAGTGGAAGAAGAGAACTAAGCTGTAAATGCTGAATGCAGAGCATGATATGGAGGGATGCCACTGCCTTGAGAGAGAGAATATTCTGCAGCATCTTGATTGTGTATGTTTTTAGTACTCTCTCCCACAGAGCCCATAGGCAGATTTGAACCCCTGACCTTTTAGTTGGCAGCTGCGTGTTTCATCATCATACCACCAGAGCTCCTCTGGTTTTGTGTGTTTTTAAATTGCATAGAAGCTGAAATAGGTACTAAAAGAGAACAGTCTACGTTTCATCAAGCCAAGGCAGCAGGAAATTTAGCCAGCGGAGAGCACCAAGGCAAAGCTTTGGGCCAGAGAAGCATTACCGTAAGTTGCGCTCCAGCGATGTCGCCGAGTTGTCAGTCAAGTGGTCCCCTTCCAGTCCACTCCCAGCTACTCCAGAGTCTAACCGGGCCGACCGAGTTCGCCGTTTTTTCTTTTCTTGTTCCTTGCGTTTCCCAGGTTTGCCTTTCTTCTTCTTCCCAGGCGTCTTCAGGGGCTGCTCTTTGTACGTCTCCACTTTGTTGGTCTCCTGAGTTAGATACCTGCCCTCATCATCAGACCCAAATCGGACAGGGTGGTTCTTCGTGTTGGGAGCAGGCTTGGAGTTAGGGGAAACCTCCGAGGTAGCTCTGATTTCAGCTGTGTGGATTTCTGCAATCAGATGGTGAAGAAAGAATCGTCGTCGTAAATCTTGAATGGACTTCCCCTTGTCATGGAGGAGCTGGTGTTCTGCCACAGCTCTTTTGCTTTAAGGAAAAAAAATATCAGGAGGGGAAGAAGACAAACTACAGTTACTGACAAAGACACTAAAGACATGAATAAACACCTTTGGTTTTCTGGTTGGCACAGTTTGGGTCTGAGCTGTTACAGGCTTAGGTAGCCTCAGCAGGGAAGGATAGTGAATGGGATGGCAGAGCACTTAGGAAACTTTGCTTTCCAGTGCTTTTGCACAGCAGGCTTGTGACCTTGGCAAGGGCAGATATATACCTGGACCTCATGTGCATTTTCTGTAAAACAGGAAGGAGTCCAAGTCAGAGATGTCTATACTCCCTTTATGGAAAGCTGTGATGGCCTACTGGGCAAGGAGTTGAACTGCCAACCCCAAAGCAGGTGGTTTAAATCCACCAGCTGCTCCTCAGGTGGAGGATGGGAAATCTCTCCCTGTGGGCTTTATGGCCTCTGAAAACCTAGTGGAGAAATGACTATGAATTGGTTCAAACTCAGTTTCAGTGAGTTAGTTTTAGTGTCCAGATCTACAACGTTATGATTCCATTAAGCTATTGGGAAGAAGACAGATTAAGCTTTTTCTCTGACATTTTTCAGAGCTCTATTGAGGAAATAAATCAATTTTTAAAAGCCCAAGCTCGGGAAATAAAAAGGTTGATTTTACCCGAGTATTCTCTAACTTCTGATACACACACACACACACACACACACACACACGAATGTCTACATTACAAAATAATAATAATAATAATAATACTGAATCTCAAATAACAGCAAAAGTTAAAGACAGTTAAAAAACAAAAGTTAAAAAAAGTTAAAGACAGATTGAGAGATGAAGTGAGCAGTGAGGATTATCTAGGAATTCTCCTGACAGTCTGACTGAATTTTAACGTGGTATCAGACTACCAGCTACCAAGAACTCACATTTGAAGGCTAACTCAGAGAGACAGAACTCACATTTTTCTGTAAAGCAGTAGGTGGTCATCTTAAATTAGGTTTCTTTAGGTGTTTAAATTAAGTAAACTCATTCTATTTCTTCAATTCTTCAAGGTGGTTTTTCTTTTTTAAATAAATTTACTATTTCAGAGGATATTGGTCTTAGTAAGTAGCTGAGACAGTCCTTGTCCTATTTGGTTTCTTTGTCTTAATATAGTTTTAGGAATATGAAGTGATTTTTCTGTTTAAACATCACTCCACTGGACATACTGTGAAAGAGAACAAGCTAATTACCAATCCTTTAGGTTAACACTTGACTCTAATCCATCCATGTGTGCTTCTGATTTGTATTTACATATTACTGAGCATATTTAAGGCTAACATACATCAATACATCATGCCAACACCTATCTCAGCGCTGCCTCAGCTAACTCCAATCTCTAGACTTAAAATGGCCCTCCAAACAGGTTCCATTTCAAAAGTATCTAAAAGCATTTCACTGGGCTTTGTCCCAATATTCTTGCTTCTCTGACACAGTGGTGCTTGAGCCTCCAAACCTTCAATTTTGTGATGTCTTTAACTCTTAGAGAAATACAGAAAGAATTAAAAGGGGGGAAAAGGTGAGTTCACATGGTGACACAGCTTGGTAATTAAGTGAAAGGTGAGTGGTGTAAAGCCACCATGGTGGTGTAAAGCTCCATGGGAAGACAATATAGCAGTCTACTTCCATAAGGAACACAGCTTTGGAAACCCTGTTGGACTATTTTACTGTCTTGGAGGGCTGCTGAGAGTCTAAATCAGCTCAGTGACCATGAGTTTGGGTTTAGGCTGGTCACACAATATAAGAATATGGCTGGACCTGGGTCCCCAAAATTAGTTCTTCTGATTCTAAAATCAATATTGGCTTTTCAGCTTCCTTTAATCTTTCTACCACTTAAACTTAAGCATCTTATTTTGAGGGAACCAGAAGAGAGAGGCAAAGGGTAAGAGGGCAGTAGTGGGTACCACAATAAGCAAACAAACTGCAGTTTATCAGCTTCTTTAACGATCAACCTTGTTGACCCAAGCAGTTCATTTTCATCATCGATATAGTGATTACCTGAGTGCAAGGTGGGTGGTTTCTAGATCTGGGTTATCTCTGACAGATGAAGAGTCTTTCTAGTTATATATATGAGTCAATGAAGAGACTGAGAGATGAAAATAGAGTCATCAATTAATCTGAACCGTATAGCTAGAATCTTCACTTCTGTCTACTTTTTAGTGTGGGGAATGACTTCAAATCATGTAGCTCATTTAAAAAAGACATTACTTAATGGAAAGGAATTTAACAGGAGCTTGGTTTAAATGAGCCATGAAGGAGTCTCTTTTACTCTTGAGGATGCCACATGTGACTAGATTAAAATTCACTTTGTGGCAATGTTTTATACTCAGGAAATTTTTAATAATTACAAATTTGAGGCTCTGATAGGAAGTATTTATAACTTTGTAATAACACAAGGATCAGACTGATAAAACTGTGTATTAAGTGTTACAGTTTAGTAAGTATCTTTCAGCAAAACATCACAGTAAGAAGTTCTTAACCAGTGATCATTTCTAGTAATTAGGTGCTTTTATTTCTTTCTCATTTACTTACTGGCAGATGCCCAACGTATCGGTATTGTTCCACATTTACAATACACCACAGTCCTGGCTTAGCTTTAAGCCAAACTTCTAATGGTTTTTCTGTTCTAATCAAGCCACCGGTCCTCATACCCACTCTTACTGGCATGCATGCCTCTGTCATCACGGCCAGCCTGTCAACTGTGAGTCACAGTGTCTTCCTAACTTAAGCTCTGCACTTTCCCAGGATGGTTCTCATGGGAAAAGGAGTGATCATTCTATCCCTCTATTTTATAAAAAGCCTACAATATGGCACAGCGTTGGCCAGTTTAAAATAGTACATCTCTTGTGAGACACAGAACTTTCCTTCTGCCTTTTAGGGGTAACTGTTAGTATATTAGAGAACAGAAACTTTCTTAAAGGCTAAACTTAAAATGCTTTTAGAATTTTCAAAGATTCCTGCATATAAAATATGTGAAGAATGAGCTACTGAGTGGGAAATGGCATTAGAGGAGCAGGCATATAATGGTATCTATTATCTCCAACAAGGATAAGGTCCACAGAGCTTTATACACAATTCTAAAATAAAGCATAAACTGACACAAGTATAAATGACTAGGAGGCAAAACCTAGATATACAGAGGTGGGAGTAACAGATTCAAATGCAGGAGGCTTTAAAGTTAGATAATTCAGGAATATTAAGTTGTAAATATGGCCTTAATAACAGTCTATTATTCTGGATGTCTTTAGACATTACAGACCATCAGAGTCCACATGACATTATTATATACCTAAGTGCAAAACCAGAAAAAACAAGTAAATTCATGGCTCCTTCTGAATATTATTTTTCTTTAAAAAAAAACAAAGCAAAAATGTGTGTGTGTGGGAAGTACATATCAAAGCTATTTCTAAATTCCATCAAAACCTTCTTAAAGAAAAAAGTACTTTCAAAGGAGTTTTAGAGGAGGCTTCATTTCTAAGGGCTATATGGGAACACAGAGACTAAACAGAAAGATGAGAACTCCTCTTCCAGCACAGGAAGAAGCAGCACTCTCATGCTGATGCTTGCCTCCTAAGCAATGGCTCTGTAATTGAGGAGAAAAGTTCTGTGGCACATGGAAGAGATAGGGTTAGGGTGTTAGAATGGAGATGACTCACCCCAAGTCCCTCCCAACTCAAATGACTCAGTAGAAAGTTATGCTTTTCATTAAGTGGAACAGACCCGGTCTGGCTCTCAAGCACATCGGTTCCTCAGTGTGCTGGGGTTCCCGCTCAGGCTTAAACACAGCTAGCCACCTGTCCTAGCCCATGCTCATCTGCACAGCAAAGTCTATAGGCGTCACTTTCCAATTTACTCAGGCTCAGTCATATTAATTATGTCTTTGGGACTAACAAGTTCAAAAGGTTCACAACTGATAATTGCCTTCTATGCTTGGCTTCAGAAATGTTATGGTAGTAGATTACTCTCCCTTGAAAAACAGCTCTAGTTTTAAAAAAAGAATCTGTATTTCGAAAGCAATTTCCCTGTTACTTGGTGTGAAGAATAATTGGGGAGTAATGTAGTTTGATTATATGTTAAAATTCCTTTCAAGAAACTAGCTTCATTTAGGGTAATAGTAGACTAATGTTTTGTCTACACACAAAATTTACTGTTACTTGGCAGCAAAGCAAAAATAAGAACTTGTTTTTTTTTTTAAAAACTCCATTTGGTATAATAAGCTGATGAAACATCTTCATCTACTGATGATTTCAGCCTCTATGAAAAACCATGGGTGTAATGTGATGATGTATTAGCCATTAACTATAAGAATGTTTTGTGGTAGTTTTATAACTGTCTGCTGAGTGTGAGTATTTAACTACAATATTAAATTTCACCCACAAGCAAAAGTATAACAGAGTCTCTAGCTGCTAAATGTTTTCTGATGCAGATTTTGCAAGGTGCAACAACAACAAAGAGTGAAAATTAGCTGTTTGGCCAACTCAGTTATATTTTTATGCAGTAATTATAAATTTACTAATAATTCCTCTTATTTATCAAAGGAAAAACAGGTATTTCTTAGACAACTCTAGAGGAAAACTGGCTCTGCTCCAAGATAGTATTTCTTAGCCAAAGAAACACAATATTTAAGTGTGTCTGTAAACATCATCTTTACCTGCATTTTTATGTGGATTTCAAATAACTGTATTTAATAAAAGTATCAAAATGAGCAAAATCTCTGAAGAGCACTGTTTAGAAATATATTCTCAGAACATTGATTTGACGAATACAATGCACCTTTATCTTCAGCACAATGTTCTACACAATTTGCCTTAGGACATTCATAATAGATTTTCATTTTAGTGCCAAGGTTCAGACATGTCTAGAGTAATTTCATTTAAGGATTTTCTGCTCTAATAATAATAGACCAAGGGCATATATAAAACAGTTGCCTTTTTGTATACCCTTGAAAATTTACAAGGAAGCGCTATGAACTTGATTGTAAATATCAGATATTACTATTTTTATTGTTAGTGTAAAAGTTCTCCTTAATTCCTTATCCAGAGCCAAACTCTTCTGAGCTCTTAAACTTTATAGATTTCCCATGCTGAAGTCCGAGTCTGCATTTTAAAGATCACCCAAAGATGTTATTATGCATAAAAATGAACTGCTAGGTCTAACAGGTCTAGCAGATTCTTAACATGATGCTAATTATTGCTCTAGATCACTTTCTCAATTTTTCAGTTATGTAGTATTTCTCTGGTGTGGTTGGATACAGGATTATCTCAAAATCAAAATTACCTTTAAAAGAATCACTGATAATAACAAAACAAGATTTTAGCCTGCACTACAAATATGGACTCTGGATTAAAGAACTGTTGCAGGAATTCCAAGGGAGAGGTGGGAGGGGTAGAATTTTCCACACCTAAAATTCATTTTGGAATCAAGTACTTCAGCATCTCTCAACTGTATCAATAGTACTATTGGTGTGCTAATGCAAAGTTGTTACTACTAAATTATATAATATGCCTTCATTATGTAATATAGTCCCATTTTATATGCTTAAAATTATGCCATTCATCATAAAATTAAATGCAAAAGTATTGCTTTTCACGCACAGCTACCCATATATGCATATATTCACTATATATACACACACATATATATACATACATACCTATATATACATACATACATATAGACATACATACATACATATACATATGTAAATTCACACTGACATATATTGCCTGGATTTTCAGTTTCCTCTAAATTATCTTAAGTGCCTGTAATCTGCAATTTCAAAATCCTTCCCAGGTCCTGAAAAAAGTAACCCCTTTCTCTCACTAGGGGCAGAGAATCTTTGTCTAAAGCAGATTTGGTAAAACGCTCCCTCTTTTGGAAACCCGCTTAAAACTTATCCCCAGCCTGTCTCTCCTAAAGGTTCTATCTACCAGTTCTGGCCACTGTGAGGATCGAGACTCAGCTCCGGCAGGTAGTCGGATCGCCTCACTCACCCCGCAGGAGCTCCCGTGACCGCAGCGAGCCCTCGGCAGCGCCCCAGTCTGGCGGTCTGTCCCTCTGGCCTTCCCAGCCCTTACCCAGCGCGCGGGGCAGCGCGAGCGCGGAGCACTTACTGTCGGCGGCCGAGTCCCTCCAAGGAACCGCCAGAGGAGGGCACAGAGTAGCTCAGCAGGAACACTGCGACGCTCCACTGCTGAACAAGCCTCCGCAGCATCGTATCCTCTAGCTTTAGGGATCTGCAACAGAATGGAAAGGGGTCCAAAGTGTCAGTCCCGACTCTCCATCTCCCCGCACTCCCTGCCTCCCCACTTCTTGCCCGTTCTCAAATAGCCTCTCCAACATCAAGGGCATCACTCAAATTGCAAAGGAAACAAAACAAAACAACCCCCCAAAACTTTCTCTGAATACTTTCTCAGCACTTACTTATTTAGGAATCGGCTATTCCAACTCTGCCTTTTCCAAACCACACAGGCGAAAAAGGACCAAAAAAAAAAAAAAAAAAAAAGAGAGAAAAGGAGGAGGGGGTAGAATCAGAGGCGCTTCCTCTGAAATAATAGCGAAAATGAAATGGTTTTATATATGCATCAATGATGAGTAGTGTGTTTACACGTCTCCCATGGCAATGTCTAATTAATCTGGCCGGCAGCTCTCCTGCGTTCTTGGAGCAGGGTTAGTCCCCTCCAAAAAAGAAGAAAAAGTTCCCCTCACTGGAGTCGGTTTCTTGGCGCATGAGGCCCTCTGGTTCCAGAGCCACTTGTAGCGAGCCCCACATATATATACATAGCTGTCTGTCTACCTCCTCGGGTGGGCTGGTTGCTTCCGGAAAGTTGATTCCACACACCCTGAGAACAAGTTTCAAGTGCGTGTGTCGTCGATCGGGAGGGCCAGGTGGCAGCGAGGGCGGGTTAATAGCGGCGCGGAGGGGCGGCGGCGGCCGGGACGGCAGGGCAGCGGGGCGCCCGCTTCACGGACAGGGAGGCATGCTGGCCGCAAGGCGCAGGTTGGAGGCAAGTTGAAAGCTGAGCAAAGGAATGTTCACACGCTCCGAGGCGAGGCAAACCTGCCGGAGAAGTGAGCGAGTCGCAAAGAGGTGGCGCCCTAGGAACGC